ACACCTACTCCCGGACACCGAAAGGTGGAGTGCAGCACGCATTCCAGAGCTCCAACAAGGGGAAGGAGAAGTACCGCCTCGACTTCATACTCATGCGTCAGACGGACCGGCGCTTCGTGCGTAATGTCTCCGTCAAACGTGTCGACTTCAAAGACTCTGACCACAACCTCGTGCTTACGACTGTCCGCCTCCCCCCCCGTGTCGCACCCAACCGACGAGTGCGGGGGAACAGCAGAGGCAGCCGGATCCGTACTGACCTCGAGCGGGTAACGAAGGACAAACACCTACGGGTCGCCTTCCACAACAGGGCCTCCGGCCGCCCTCCGCCCACGGCGCTGAGGCGGCCAACGGGAGAGACCGCTGCCGAGCTGACGGCTACGGTGATGTCGGCCGCTGCTGAGACCGCGCCGCTGGCGAGGTGCGCACGAGGGCAGAGAGGCTGGTACACGAGCGAAGCGCAGCATGAGATCTCCGAAGCGTCTAAAGAGGTAAAGGTGGCCCAGCAGCAACTGCGTGGGGCCTCAAAGAACAGCGCCGTCGAGGCGACCCTGAAGGCGATGCTCAAGGCGGCGCGGAAGAAGCGCAGCATCGCGAGGTGGAGAGCACTGGAAACGTTCTTCGAGGGCTATGTACGGCAGCTCGAGAAGAAGAGCCGCGAGGGGGATCAGGCGGGTTTCTACAGGCACCTGAAGATGATCGACGTCGAAGGTAAGAGGTCGTTCACCTCTCAGAACATCAAGGACGAGGACGGCAAGGTCCTTCGGGACCCCACGTTTATTCGCCAGCGGTGGGCACGGTGGTTCCACAAGTTTCTCAGCACCAAGTCGCCGACCATCGACCTGCATGCGGCTGACAAGGTCAAGCGGTGGCCCACGTGCGTGCCACTCGACGTCATTCCATCTCTACTTGAGGTTGAGGAAGCGGTACGGGAAATGGCCAACAGAAAGGCCGTCGGGCCGGACGACCTACCGGCTGAGCTGATCAAGCTTTTCCTGGACGGAGATCAAGGTCTCCTCCGCGAATTCCACGCCATTGTCGTGGACGTGTGGCAGACTGGGGACGTACCACAGCAGTGGAAGGATGGCACCATCAAAGTGCTGTTCAAGAAGGGGGACACGATGGAGTGCGGCAACTACCGGGGCATCTCTCTCGTCGCACACGCCGGCAAGTTGCTGCTTAAGGTCGTCGCTACACGACTGAGCCACTACTGCGAGCGAGAGGGCATCCTCCCGGAGGAGCAGAGCGGTTTCCGCCCACACCGGTCGACGCTCGACATGCTGCTCGCCATCCAGCGGCTCCATGAGCTCGCGAGGAAAAAGAGTACTGCGGTA